TGAGTGAGTATAACCTCCAATGAAATGAGCAAATGCCTACGCCTGTGTGAGCTCCTGCCGGAATCTGTCACTGGGTGAGCCATGGAGTCCAGAGACTCCCATCCTGACACATGCCTGTGGGTGGCAATCCTGGACAGGTGTCATAGACAGTCTCTGTAAGATTCCTCCTTCCACTCCCAGGACAACAGTGGGATACCATTAGGCTGTTACGGGTCAAGTGTGTTCATGGTGCCTGAGGGTTGGTGGTGTGGTCTGGGTATGAGGAACCCTATTAGGAAGAGTGGCTACTGGATGCCGGGAGGAGAGGGTATTAATATTTTTAGGATATCAAATAGTATGGAAGAAATGTGTCTACAAATGCCAACAACTCTCTTCTAAATTTAGCCAAAGTGTTCCTTTATTTGAGAGCCAGGTGGGAAAGGAATAACAGAGATGGCCCCTGGTTCTCAAGTGAGCTATGACCATATAGACAGCTCTGGGAACTATGCCGAAGTCCTGAGGGCCTCAACATCTCCCCTCAAAGAGATTCCTGGCACTGTCAATTTATCTTTTTATTCTTCCATATGTAGCCAAGCCTATGGTTTTTGTGAAGTCTATTTAATTTTCTTGAACTTAATGTGTTTTGAAACCAATGATGATCACCCACATAGTCCCCATGGGAGAATCTGACTACCTGTGATTGGGGTACTCCCGAAACACAAATCTGCAGAGAAAGTGAGATATTGAGGCAAAGCTTTAGCTGTTGCAGGCAAAAGGGCTTTTCCCAGGCCGTGGCTTGTCTAGTCTCAGGTTCTTGGCCACCCAAGCAGTGTCAGGCATGGGTTCCATCTTGTGGAGTGGGTTCTAAATCCAATTAGAGAGTGATAAACTCAGTGGTGGTTTTGTAGATTTTTTTTGTCTCATATTGCTTTGCTGGAGCATTTTCTACCTTACTAGTCTTTTGCATGTATGTTGTGGCTTCTAACTTAGTGTTTTTGTAGGTTCTCCTGACTGTCGTCTGTCTGTCTGTCTGTCTCTCTGTATGTGTTTCCTGTACTTTTCCACTGTTTTTTTTTTAAAATTCTGGTTTGTTTGCTTTTTAAAATTTGCCTGCCTGTTTTCTAAAAAGAGAGGGAAAGGAGCTGTGGAACTGGATGAATGGTGGTGTGGAGAGGATCAGGGAGGAGGTGCGGATGGAAACCACTATCAGAATATGTTGTATGACTTTCAATTAAAAAAAAGACAAAAATAAAGAGCTAGTCTTGACAAGGCCCAGTTCAGGCAGTGTGTGGGTGCAGCTTGGGCAACGTGTGCCCAGAGCCCAGCTGGAGTCTGTCCCAGTGCTCAGGGTGTCTGTGATGGCACAGTATTTGCCATAGTTTCATATTTCAATGAGTCTGTGAAACAGCCCAGTATCTAAAGTATTTAAAGTGTGGAAACTGCAATTTGGAAAAATTACTCATTTTGACTTTGGTCCATCATTTCCATTGCCTTTTGCATTAAAATATTTTGACTTTTTAATCCATTATTATAAATTTATGCTATTTGAAGAATCTCTGAAATGTTTAATTAAGAACAAAAATAGTTCTTCAAAATAGACAGAATGCACGAGGCATCAGAAGCTGTGCCTCACACAGGCAGGATTTAATTATAGCCCCCTCAGAGGCACCAAATGGGGCTGAGGAGTTTTCCAAGGTCTCTGGAAACACCTCCTGAGTGTGACCTAGGAGCTATCAAGGAAAAGAGAGGTCTTGTTCTGCAAGGACACACTGGAGCCTCTTCATCCCCATCAATCCTCATAGCTGGGGAGAGCTCAGAATGCTGTTCCCAGAGATCTCTGCACAAAGGAGTTCATGCACAAGAGAACGAAGGCTTGAGTGAGTATCTGGCCCATGCCTCCCCCAGGGACCTGCACAGGGCCTGGGAAGGTAGTGCTGATGCAGCTTTAGGACACTGCTCAGTGCCTGCACATCTAGCCGTGTTCAGATATGAAGCAAAGCCCATATGCAGGCTCACAGGGCAGACGATCTCACCTAGATGTGGGAATCCTCCCAACTCTACACCTTTCCAGAAGCCCCAAGACTCATGGCTGTTTGATCTGTCCACATAGCCCGTAAGCAGGTGATGTGTCTCAGCTGGCCAGCTTCAGAGGGACGAGTCAGAGCCCCCGCTCCACGACCATCATCCCTGCTCTGGATCAGAGCTCAGGACACTCAGGAGGGGACTAACGAAACTATCCCTGCAGAACCAGTGCTTGGGTCGAGAAGACGCCTCACTCCCAGAAGGCCACAGGGCAGCTTCCTAAAGATAGCCCACCGAACTGCTTCAGGACAGTTTGGGATTATCTCAGGAGCCCAAAATGCACTCATGTCTTCTGTAAAAACATGCTTCAGATCGTATTCCACATGAACAGAGTTCTCAGATGGGGTTTTTGCTCTTCTCCATATCCAAATGAGAAAGGGGATACTAAGAAGGCAAACCTCAGAGGTGCAGGCCAGGCTGCCCAGAGCTTTGTCTTTTGTGCTCTGGATTTGGGGGCCATATTCGTGGGGTTCAATATATAAAAGGATGGAACATGAAGCATCATTTGGTAGCAAGGTGACACCCAGGACGGTGCCATTAACAAACAAGGCAGAAACAGCCATTTCAGGAATTCGGTAAATGAGGAGGAAGCAGGGAAGTCTGAAAATTCGGGCCTCTAGTCACACTCACAGGATGCAGGTGACCTAGGTGAGGGCACATCTGCTTTAGTAGGTCTCTCTGCACCTTGGCTTCAACTGCATCCAAAGTAGCTACCATTTGTCTGCATTCTCTCGGCTCATGAGCCTGACTCAGGTTAGTGAACCTCCTCTTGAGGTTGGTCTTCAGGACATATGGGTGGGGTTCAGTGACACGAGATTCAGAACACTCTGTAATCACCAAGTCCAGATCACACAGTTGTCCTGTGTGCTCAGCAGCACGCTGTAGTTCTAGGGCGGTGGGTACCACCCACGGCTTCATCAATAATCATAGCCACAGAGTACATGGTATACATTTGTCACAGAGACGCTAAAGGCAGTGATTATGCCTAACAGAGCAGGCAGGCAGCACCACAGTGTCACTGTCCAGGAAAGAAACTGCTTTCTTAGGAAGTGGCGCCAAGTGATACCACACAACATAATCAGGCCATCAGCTGTGTGTAGCGTGGGGGAGAGGAAGGACATAGGTCCCCTCTTCCCACATCTGACCAGGGGTTTGTGCATGGGCTCCTGGGTAAGGCAGTAGGTTAGAAATGAGTGGGCATCTGTTCAAACGTGGGGAATCCTGGTCTCTAACACTCTACTGGTTCTTCTCTCTACTTTGTTTCACTATGCAGGATGCAATGCAATGCAGGACCCTCTCCATGGTGTTCTGAGTGTGCTAAAGGGGTGGCGTCCCAGCCAGCATCCCAGCCCAGAGCTGAGACTTCCAATAACACAGCTGAAGAGGGTAGGAGCCCAGTGGTTGCCCTGTCTAGTGGAAATGTCAAAGCAAGTGTGGGGGCAATAGAAGGCTGTAAAGTCAGGCAGATGAAGGCCAGTAAATCACAGCATTTCTCCAAGCTTGAGCACCCATCTGTGGAATCGGTATCATCAAGCCTGACTGAGAAGCATGGTGTCTTGTCTGGCTCATAGTACACATGTGACTCTGAGGCTGCTACGCTACTAACTACTGGCCAGTGTGTAGGAATGCTGCCCTCAACTAGTGGAGCATTCACAAAGACATGACATTTTCTCTCCTTGAGTTTCAAAATCTTTTGGCTTTGAATGATAAATCTTAATGAAGAAAAGAAAGCAATGAGTCTGGGGAAAGGATCACATGGGTCAGCTCCCCAAAGCAGCCTTGCTAACACAGATGGCGGTGGGGGTGGGGGGGTGGGGGTGGGGTGGGGGGTAGGGGTGGGATGGCGGGGGGCGGGGAGGGCCCTTGTGACGGGCAGGAGGCGGCTTGAGGCATCAGTGGCTGTGTTGTGCCTGGCTATTTACTGAGTCTCTGCAGCATCTCTCCTGTACTCAGTTCCTTACTGAGCAGTCAGTATGTCGGTACATACCTGACTGTGTGTTTGCAAGGAGCTCAAGTCTTCCTTGCAGTGAGAAGATGACCCAGGCTGAAGAGGAGGAGACAATGGTAAAACACAATGGGAGGTGATGCAGAGATGCCCTAGGCTGCCAGAGTTGAGATGGAGCCAGGCAGAGGTCCAGCGCTGAGCGTGGGTGCACTCTCATGAGGAATGTCCATATCACCAATTACATTCTTTTTTTTTTAAAGTAGTTTTTTCAAAGATTTATTTATTTATTATGTATACAGTGTTCTGCCTGTATGTAGGCCTGCATGCCAGAACAGGGCACCAGGTCTCATTATAGATGGTTGTGAGCCACCATGTGTTTGCTGGGAATTGAACTCAAGACTTTTTGGAAGAACAGCCAGTGCTCTTAGCCTCTGAGCCATCTCTCCAGCCCCAACGATTACATACTTATAGAAAGATCTACTCGTGAGTGTGGTACTCTTAATCTTAGAAACGGTTGGATGAATGCTGTAGCTGTGACTGGAGAGACTCTTCTCACTTGGCATGAGTGGCCTGAGACAAGACACCAGCAGCTACAAACAGACACTGCCTCTGAGCTTACGAAGATGTTTGGCATGGGATCAGACTAAGAATTACTGAACCAGCTTCCCAGGAACCCAGACAGTGGCAAAACTGTAAATGGGATGAAGAGATCCAGATAGCAAGGAGGATGAGTTGCTCAGGAGGCCCCAGAAGAGATGGTCGTGGCAGGTGTAACTCAGAGGAATCTTTACCATCCAGACATGATGACAAGTAAGGAAAGCCTGCCTTCCTGGGCCTCCGAAATCATGCAGAGTCAGCAAATCCCCAAAGTCACAGCAGATCAGAAGCCAAGTAGGGATGGAGAAGCCGCACCAGTACAGAAGGAAGGAGACCCATGGCCAATGTCTGTTTGGGTGTCAGCGAGCGGAGCGTGTGCGGCCGGCCGGGCACCTACCTTACTCTCATCCTCGGGGTCGCTGTAGCCGCATGCGTCTATGAAATCTGGGAATGTCTCCGACCACCCATCACTAGTGCAGTTTTTGCTTATGTTTCCTGGAAAGTAAATTTCAGATGTTTGGTCCTTGAACAGTGGCCTCACAGTGAAGGATGACACGACAAGCTGATGCTGAAGCCCTAACCAGCAAGTGACTGAGACCACCCAGAAGTCCTTCCTCCGTCACCCTGCATGGATAGCCTACTCTCTGAGACTTGCCTGCCAGGGCCCTGGAGACACAAGTGGATACACTGTATCACAAAACAGCAAAAGCAGAAGCAAGCACTAATTACAATTGTTGAAACTGCGGAGCTGCTCATCTGAAGCCCAAGGAAGACCCTTAGCAGATTCTGGCATCTGTGACTATTAGAGCGGAGGAGGCGCTCTGGTGCTAGCTCTCTTTTTAGCTTTCAATCCTTGCTCCCCTTTTCATTTGGCCTGCCCCTCACCCTTCAATGCCTCACAAGCAGTGTAGGGCAATTTTCACGTGGCTATCAGCTGGAGGAAAATGTGTGATTGGGGTTTAAATAGCAAGAATAATCTCAAACTTATGGTAAATTCAGAAATGAAGCATTCACTCTATTTACAAAGAACATGGCAGGTTCTGGACAGACCTGGTGGGAAAGGGACAAACAAGGACATTAGTGATTTGAACTGACCAGGTCAGATTCTTATTCCAGGCCCCCAGGGTAGGACACATGTCCTCCTCCTCTGTGGAGCTTCTGTCCCTTGCCCAGGCCACTCATGGGACCCACAGGGTCTAGGACATTTCAGTTTAACAAGGGTCTTCCTTTACAAACCTCTTTATCTTCAGAGTGGGCCTGAGAGGCAGGTATGATTGACATTGCTGTTCTCATTCTGCAGATGGGACACTAAGCTCCCGGAGGCTGGGGAACATTTGAGCCTGAGCTGGAGATAGGGTTTCTGACTTTAAGGCCCTACAGTTTTTGTTTTTGTTTTTCTACATGGCAGTTACCTGCTCACTGGTACCGAGCAGTCAGCAGGGCTGAGAGCTCATCTCTTATCTGGCAATGGGCAACAGCAGTTCCTTCCAGGCTTGTGGTTCTGAAAGCGGCACTGCTGGGCAGACTCAGTTCCATAGTGTCCAGAGGACTCTAGGTCCCCCATCACCTCCCTGGGGACCCACTGGTATCCTTCCTGAGGACTCTGACTCTGGCCACACCTGACCCATCGATACTCAGGGTGTGTCTCTTGGCCAGAGAGCACTCATGGCCAAGCCCCTCAGGGAGATGTTGATGTCTGGACTGGATGGATGGGAGCTCCGAGAGGACAGACTCTTGGGAACGGCTGAGCTCCTCTAACACAGCCATGAATGACAGAGGAGGGGGGCTAGAGACACAGGTTCCCAGTAGGAGACGAGGTCTCTCCCCTCACTGCTTTTCTCCACGGCTGTGTTATCATTCCTCAAAGGTTTTTGCCCGTTAGTATCTGACCAGATGAAACAAAGTTTCCAGTTTTCCGAAGCATTGCACTTTCCTTGTTCTAGTCCTGTCTTCTAATCTGTGTTTTTCTAGACAGATTCCTCCATGTTGTGAAAACCTGGATCCTGAGACGCGCGCAAAGAACAACACAGCACAGAGGGTCTGAGGTGGCTCCAAATTCTCCAAACTCCAGTAAACAGCAATCTATTCAGCAGGAACATCTTTGTGCAGTGGCCCGAATTCTCTACCTAAACTTACAACCTTGTGGGAATCTCCCTCAGGCTAACTGTAACCTTCCTTCCCTCTTCCCCTAATCTCCGTTATCATGCACGCACATTTCCCCTGCTTTGCCTCCTGAGAGTTGTCACCCGGCCTTTCCCTCCACATCTGCCCTGCTTGCCCATTTAAGTTCCAGGGGATGAGCTACTCCTGCTTCCTTAAGAGAACTCACCCAGCATGGCCCAGATGTTCGCGGTTCCCTTAGGACCAGGGAGCACACAGCTACCAAAGGATCAAGGCCCAGCTTCTTGTTACTGCAATGGAAAAGCTGACCCTCAGACACCAACACCTTCGAGCCCAGGAATCAGTGCAAACACCATACCTGGTCTGCTGTAGAAGTTGCTGAACACCGTGGGGCAGGGCACCGTGACAGTTTCCCCAATGTCTGCAGGACGCCAGCATGTGATGTTGTCCCAGACACCACTGCAGCCTGGAAGGAGAAGCAAAGAATTAGGTGTGAACCATGGACCGCGAGGACACACTGCTTAGAAGGGCGGCCAGAGAATGAGTGTGACTTTAAACGTCCTCCCGGAAGAAAACTGCTCATTAGATAGTTGTCAAAGGATTTTTCTATGAGATACTCACACAACGCTGTTGAGACAGCAGCAGCTTGTGTGTTCGTTTTAACACCTTGGAAGAAAGCCACAGGCCTGTGGTACAAAGTGTGTGAAAGATTCAGTGAGTGCTGTGTGGTTTTAAAAATTTCATTTCTTCTTAAACTGACAACTAATAATTGTGTATACTTACGGGGCAGATGAGATGTTTTGATACAATGTATATATTGAAGGATGAGTGAATTAGAGTATCTATCACCTCAAATGTAGTTTCTTTGTGGTAATTATCTCAGCATTTTGGTTTATATTAACTATAATCACCCCTCTATGCAATAGATCACTAGAACATATTTTTTTTTCATCCGACCGAAACTTCATGCCCTCTCAGCAGCACCCAAAGTCAGCCTCTGGTAATACCACTCTACATTTTGCTCTATGAGACAGACTTAGATTCCACAGAAGTGAGTTGTCGTTCCTTGCCTGGCTTACTCAACTGTGCATTAAGTCCTTGGGCTCATCATATTTTGGCAAATGATGTAAGTTTCCTCTTTTATAATGCTGAACAAAATTTCATTGTATTTCTAGAACACATTTTAAAATAGAGAGTGGTTACATTTTTTTCTTGCTGATTTGTACCTTCAGTGTGGTAAACTGGGCTTCTCATGGTATTAAGTTTGTGGAGACCTAAATCTGGGACTACTCCAGGATAGCGTCAGTGCTCTGGTGAGCGGAGCCTAGTTAGAGCAGGGTTCATCATTTACACACTTTAAGTATTTTCAGACACCTAGGGTATTGAATGATGCTTTCCTTCGGGTATAAGCTGGCTGCTGGGTTCGGTTCTTCCTGTGGGATCTTCCTAGACATCCGCTTGGGAGTTCTACTGCCCCTGCATTTGAGGGGGCCTGCCAAGCTGGGGTACTAAGTCACTAGGTCTTCTGCCATTCTCTCAGCCCCCTTTATATCTTCCCAAAGGCATTTTTTTTTTAACAGTTTTATAGAGGCCTGAGTTTCAGTTTCACTGCCTTCAGCCGATTTTTCTGCTCGGTGAGGTTAGGGCCAGGCTCTGCACACTCAGCAGGTTACTGTGGGCTCTGCCCACGGTGACCTGGGCTTGTCCACACCATGCTGGGCGGTGGGCCTAGCCTGGTGTGCCTAGGCATTACTCCCTCTCGAATGGATTGCTCTGGAAGGGCCGACCTCACGAGTATGAAGGAACCCAAGGGAGTCATGCAAGAGCCATATGGCTGAGAGAGGCTCCTTGGACCTTTCCTCCTTGGCTGTGTCCACCGTGTGCCCAACGCGGGCAGTGCCACCGATAGGACAGCAACACCGGGGGACAGCTTCCATTCTGCATTTGAAAGAAACGTGAGTTTAAAATCACAGGAGCAAAACTTCTTGCAGAAATGAGGCAGAGTAGGCTGGCCCAGACAGTGCTCACGGCGAACTGGAGTTGTACAGCCTTGTCACTCTCTCTTCATCTACATCAAATGCTGGGGCCGAGGAGTGGACGCTCCCATTCTGACAACCTCCAAAGACCTTCTGACTACTCACTGGGGTGGGATACCTAGATACCTTCCACCCCTGGGTCCCCGAGTCCTCAGGGGGCCATTCTTTGCAGTCCCCACACAGCTGTCCATACAAGCAGCCAGAAGTCCTCCTGAAGATGATATCCAAAGGATTCTCTACTGTACAGCATCAACAGAAACACCCCCTGGATGGCATTTTCCTGCTTTGGGAGGCTAATGTGAAGCTGAACAGTCTGCCACAAACGTCTTAGAAATCAAGTTAGGAAACACGCTGATGTAGCAGACCGAGGGGCCCTGTGCACCTTACCTCAGCATTGCGTCCCATCTGAGCAGTGGGTTTGTGAGTGCAGGAGTGCTTTAACGTGAGAAGATGAGAAGGGTGCAGGAAAGAGAGAGCAAAAGGTCACTGCAACTTACTAATAGGAAGAAAAGCAGCGAGGGCCTCAGTTGTGACAGCTCAGCTCAACTGGCTCTTGATGGAGACACAAGATAAGGTCAAATTTTTATTATAGAAAGTGTTTTTTTTTTCTTTCTTTTTTCTTACCTCAGGAGGAACCAGACAAAGTACTTCTTGTACTCTGGCCATTCCTTGCATAGAATTTGTTGTGGCCAGAACAGCCATCTGGCAGGACACAGAATTAAGAGTTCCTCTTGGATTCTATGGCTGTGCCAGGCTTCCTAGGTCATGGTCCAAGGAAGAAAGCCAGGAGCAGAGCAGATCCTCTTGAGAGTACCCTATAAGTCCTTCAGACTCATGCCTCCAGGAAAAGCATCAAAGGGACCCCACATTTTATATATGATATGGCCGCACAGTGGCCGAGCAAAAGAACCTGGGTGTCTACTCTATGCTGTAGTCCAGTATTATCTGCTCGGAAGTTCCCTCCAGAGAGCTGCCTCAGTGCTATCCGTGGACTGAATGCTGCAATGGCCCTGCTTAACCTTGAGGAACACAGAAAAAAGCTCCCAGATAGCTTTCTCTACTCAACAAGTATCCAAGATCCAGCTGTCATCTCCAACCCTCCCTTTCTTCCCATGCAGCTTCCCTGCACCGTATTACCCAGCTGAGGGAGAAGGACATAGCATTCCATGGACACTACCTAGTCATAAGTCGCAGAAGCAGGTACAGAGGGAAATCTCAGACCACCTCTAAGTCCTGCTCAGGGATCTGTCACTTAGGGCCTTTACTCTGGGTCCACCCAACACCCGATTCCACAATCTCATACACGTGTACATGGAGAGGAGTCACAGGACTTCTTTTTACAAGGAAGAGTATCACTTATTGTCTTCCCATGTAACCAGGTTCTCACATTTGTCATGTTATGTGTGTAGAGTATGATTCTTTTCATTGGCGGCATGATAGTCCATAGTCAGAGTTTAACAGTTAAGTCCCCATTTTTCAAGTCCTCAGCATCCATTATGTTTATGAAATAATTGATAAGAAATATAGTAATTAAATACAGAAGAGGAAGGGATAAAACAATTGCATGTGCTTGCCTTTTAAAAGGAATATTAGTTATTTCCCAATTGAAGAATATTTTTGAGAACAAGAGTTGATGAATATGTAAAAAATGGTCGGAGTTAGAGAATCAACACGTTTCTCCTACAAATAGCAAATTCAGGTACAAATCATTAGTAGATACTAAAACAGGTGGTGCTGACTGCTTCTGAGGCCCCGTCATTAAGACAACCCAGCAATATAGCCCACACTAACACATCCACCAATCTTCAGGTTTGCTCACCTGTGCAGGGCCTATCTTCTTAGAGCTCATTTATGCAAGGCATACCTATTCTATGGTTCACCTTCCCAGAACTCAATTGTATGTAGTGTACTGATTTAGGGCTCTTCTGTGGAGGGTACACCTCTTCAGAGTGATCCTGTGCAGGGCACACCTGCCCAGGACACACCTGCCCAGGGGCTCACCTTCTTGGGAGTTCACTTGTACAGGATGTTTGCTGGGGGTCTCTTGTGCAGGCACACCTGTTCAAGGTTCACCTGTGTTAGGCATTTCTGTGCAAGGGACACCTTCCTGGAGCTTACATGTGCAGGGTGCACTTGTGAGGCCCTTTGTCTTTTCTCTGGTAAAGTGCCTGTTGAACAAAGAGGTTCCTATGACTCCCCTAAGGGCTACAGTTTTAAAGCAACAGAGTTTTAGAAAAACTAATCATCATTTTGCCATCAAACCTACCGATCCTCTATGCCTGTCATCAACTTAAGAGACACAGAGCTGGATGGAATTGAAAATTGAATTGGGAAAGATGATTTTTACAAGTGTTTTGTCCTCCTCTGAACTATGCCAATTTATTCTGACCTGAATTGTCTCAGACTCCTGCTTGCTGGCCTCACAAAGACACTACATTGTCTTGATAGAGGAGGGTGCTGGCTTCTCTGCATTGTGCTCACAAAAAGTAAATACTCAGTGGTCTTCTGAAGGAGCCCTGGTGAAGAGGATGCAATGCAGGGTTAGTATAGCCGCTTCCTCACCTGATTGCCCCGACCCAAGGACCATAGAGTTGGCCTAGGCTAGCCTTGCCCTCAGGCTGCTCACAGTCCAGAGGCCAAATCCTAACTGTGTGGAATGTTTACCCTCAGCCTAGTTACATCTCCTGGAGCCTTGCAGGGGCAACTGAGGTGTGACCCACAGTCATTTAGCAATGTTTCATCAACACTTCACTTAGGCTTGCAGCTCAGAAATCTCAAATAATACCACTTTTGGGTACCTAGTGTTAGCAGGGCACTTGCACTCTCCACCTGAGCTGACCACGCAGAGCAAATGCATTAATTTCTGCATAAGCACCATGGTTACAGATGTGGATGTTCTTTGAACAGCTCCATGAGCTGCCCAATTGCTGTGCAGTCATTTTCTCCAAGTCTGGACACTCTTTCCTGTGTGAAGGAGAGACTTATGGGGTCCCTCCCGCTAGTGATATAAACAGGAAACGATTTCTGTTGTGGGGTGTGTGTGTAGGGGGAGAGAAGACTCTTCATTGTCGCTACCTGAAAACTGTACCAGGAATTCCAGTGTTTCCGCTTCACCCAGGTTCCCATAATTAATCCTAATAAACTTACTGGCTCATCCAGCTAGACTTTGGTGGATTGGTTTCATTTGTCTGTTGTTGTTGCCCTCCCTATCCAGGGTGAATATGTTTGTTCGTGTCTCCCCTAGTAAAAGTCACAAGACCCATACAGACAGTTTGCCACCAAGGCTTTCTGTCTTGGTGTTCACTGCACACAAGGCTCCAGAGCAATAGATAAATCTACACAGGAAGCAGGATGTGGACCACCTGGGTCCAGATTACACAGCTCCTAGGAATGTGAATGTAATGTGGAAGCCTGTGGATGCCTGTGGAAG